CACCTGAAACAAAGGCTGTCGTCTGCTGGCTCACTTATGACCCATGACCCCACAGTAGCTGCCCTATAAAGATGACCACAACCCAACCCATGAATGTTGACCCATGAACCAGGAGGTCATGGTTCAATCCTAGTCAAGACAAATACCTAAGTTGCCATCTCAATCCCCAGTAGGGGGGCATGCAGGAGGCAGCTGATCAATGAGTCTCTTATCATTGATGTTTCCATCTCTCTCCCCATCTCTGAAATCAATAATAAAGAAATAAATAAGACCAGAGACAGTTCCGTTTCTCCTTTAGGGGCTGTACATTCAGAACAGAGCTTGAAGCTGAGAGGAGATATTGGGGGCTAAAGAGAAAAGGTGGTGGAGAGAAAGCTGTTCTGGGAACTCTTCCTCTCACTGCCCACCAGCCTGCCCATTCGTCTGGGCCCCGAGAGAGGTGAGAATCCCCTCCCCCCGACCCCCAGGCTGCAGAAAGCCGGGAGTCGAAAGGTACAGGAGCTGCCCAGGTGCCCAGGTACTTGCCATCCTCGGAGCAAGGAACCTCACAGGCCCCATGCCTCCTTCCCCCGCGCCCAGGCCCTTGGTTCATTCCGCCTCACAGATGTGGCCTCCAGGGCCCTTCAAGAAATGACTGAGATGAAAATGAAACTTACCGGCTCCAAAATATACATGAAGCTTCAAAATTGATGTTCAAACGTCTATACAACATAACGTGGTGCTAATTAGCCAACCACAGCTCTTGTACGTGTCAACGTTCGGTGTGGAACATGGCGCTCTGTAACAGCCTGACAAGCTGTGGGCAGTGTCTCCAACAGTGTGTGCAGGAGCTGCAGCAGCTGGGAGGGGCTCGGGCACACTTACCTGCTGAGGGTCTCTTATGAACGCAACTAGCCCCTCCATCTCACCTCCAGTGCTTGCAGTTTCAGCCACACTGCCCAAGAAGGATGGAGAAGGTACAGGCACCCAGCAACGCCTAATTCATCGGGAGGGTAAGAAGCTTTACAGGACTTCCCTCATCAGGTCCCCAAAGGAGGGACTATATCAGGAATCCATTTTCCCGTTTTTGGTTTGATATACCAAGCAATTCTGGTTAAAAATGAATGACGCTAAATAATGAGACATTATGCTACAGTAACTGGGGTCGGATTGATGATGCAAAACAATGAGTCTTCCTTCTTAATTTCATCAGATAAAACATCTTTTCTGCTACCCCTAAAGGTTAATTAGCAAGTGAAGTATTTAAAGCATTAAGGACTAATTCTCCCAGGTGCAGTAAGTCACAGTAAAAACAGATCATTTCCACCTGCACCTGATTGGCTTGGAAGTCTCATTTCCAAATTAAATACCCGAATCTCAGTTCCTCCCTGGAGCCTCATGGAATTGTCAGCAAAGAGCGGAATTCTTATTTGGTTGCTCTTTCCAGTTCTCTGTGTTTACTGTCTTGGAGACATTTCTAGGGGATCCCTGACATTCATGCCTCAGCTTATCTTCCTTGCAAACCAGGTCCTTCCTGACAGGCTCCACGGCTTCCTGGCTTCCGGTTTGTCTTCTAGAACTCTCCCATAGAGCCACCAGCTCCGAGCCCGTGGGTCAGCTCCCGAAGGTTCTCTAAATGAGAACCTGGTGGGGGTTCTCTTCACTTGCCAGCAATGCCAATGTCCCTCCCCGACCCCCCCCCCCGGTCCCCGCCTCTGGCCTGGCCTCCCCTAGTGTTATGAAATATGGAATTTATGAAATTGGCAGAGTGTGAGGGGGTTCCCAGCTGCTTTGCCTTCTCTTGTCCCCTCCCAGGCCTGCCCCACTTCAGTCATGGTCCCCCAAGACTGTGCCAGGGGTCACCTTCTCCCTGGTCCCCTCCTCAGCCTCTACCTCCCACCCCCGGAACTGAAGTCTATGCCTCCCAGAAGCCACACAGAAGCACTCAGAGCCCCTACCTTCTGGGGCCTGCACAGCCTCCCACCTGAGCCCCCTCTCCCTCAGGTGCTGATGCTCTCAGCGCCTGTGCTGCTCAGGAAGGAATCCCTGATGGGGTTACTGTACACCTCCTTGTGTGTGAGTCACTGGTCCTTCTCTGGGGGATGCAATAATAGCCTTCCATTTCAGTGAAAGGAACGTGAAGCACCGATGACGGAAAGATATAAGGGAGGAGGGAACTCCCTAAAAATCACACTGCCTAAAATCACACTTGGCCTCCCTACTTCTGATATTGGTCCTGACCCACCAAAGATGGCCACTTAATTTAAAAACATGACCAAGACAAGGGCCAGGCCAGACACAGAAGACAGGAGAGAGAAAAGTGCAATGAGCAATGGGAACACGGAGGCGGGAAGGGAGGAGCAGTGAATAAAATGCCAGGCGTTTCAGTCCCAGATGCAGAGGCCAGGAAACCACCCGGTCAGACGGTCAGGCGGAATCACGGTCCAGTGAGGTTAGTGCAGGGAGAAACGATCCGGTGAGGAACAGAATGGTTTAAATACTCAAAGCCATTTAACTACTTTCGCTTTGAAATTAAGAAAAATATTTTTCCTGTTTGGAAAGAGGAGGGGTATGAAAGAAAGCTGGCATGCAATCAGCAACATGAATACTTGAGTAAAGAAAATGACAGCTGGGGGGTGGGAGTGGACAGGGAGAGGTCAATGGGAGAAAAGGAGACACATGTAATACTTTAAACAATAAAGAATTTAAATTAAAAAAAGAAAGAAAATGACAGAACATGCCCTGCTTGAAAGAGGCTGGGGAGTGGCAGGGAGTGGGGTAGAGACAGCCTTTCCTCCCAACCCCCACCAGGAGTCGCTGCTGAGTAAGCACCAAGCAGTAGCAGCAGCAGCAGCAGCAGCAGCCCTCCCTGAGGGATCTGACAGGCCAGGTCTGAAGTTACCAACACATCTGTGGGCCCCCCCTCCCCCCCCCACACACACGTGTGATTCCCTCCAAAAACACTCTCTGGGAGAAGGCAGAGTGCTCGGAGAGGTGAGAGAATGGTGCTCACTGTCCCACTGGAGGCGGACAGAAGCCTTGGTGGTTGTGCGCCTGAGGAGCCGGGAAGTCGGCCATGCTGCCTCTTCCTGGAGCAGAGCGGACACGGTGAACGTGTGCACGACTGACCGGTTCTGGGTTCTGAGACTGTGAGGACAAATGGTGAGCCAACCTCGGTTTGCCAAAGAGCTGATCCCAGAACCTGCCCCCAAAGATGCAATTCCAAAGGTCTGGAGTAGGTCCTGGGAACCCTCATTTATACGGCAATCCAGGGCAGTGATCTCACAGACCACTAGTGGTCTGTGGACCACCAGTTGGCGACTGCTGATCCAGGGGATTCTGAGGCAGGTAGTTCAGAAACCATGCGTTGAGTCTGGGGTCAAGTGGACCTGGAGTGGGTGACAAGGTCCTAGAGGATGAGGGTGGTCAGTGGCAGCAGGGAAGGAACTTCTGAAGGCTAAAGACCCACTTCCACACACTCAAGGGATAAAAAAAGTGCCCTGGAGGAGGGCTGCCTCCTGTGCATGCCACCTGCCCTGCCCCATGGGACAACCAGCTCTTCTGAGCCGGCCTGAGCCGACCTTACAAAAGCACGACGAAGGCCCTGCTTTTAGAGGGCCTCCCGTTGCTCAGGAACACCTTGCACTTAGCTACTTCCCCCCAATTAGTACAAAAAACCACCCTCCCTTTGAACAGATAAAAGGGTGTGCAGGTGCCTGGGCCCTAACCTGGGTGTGCTGCTGGGTCTGGGCCCTCGCCCTCGGCCCTGGCTCAGGGCCCATGGATCTAAATCAGGGGCAGAGAACCTTTTTTTCTGCCAGGGGCCATTTGAATATTTATAACATCATTTGTGGGTCACACAAAACTATCAACTTAAAAATTAGCCTGCTACATTCGGTCCAATATTTACTTAACTCACCCCTAATGCCTTGGCAGGGCCAGACATTAGTGAAAGAAGAAAAAGTCTTTGCTGCCTAGGAACAATGCTCTGTGATCTCACCTGTTGGGCAGGCGGCGAAGAGAGGTGAGCTTTAGCCTGGACACCCACTGTACCCTGGAGGTCCAGGCCCAGGGGCCTGTCTCTCCCGTCCTGGGGCTGGAATGTGGGTGTACTGACCAGTGCTGGAAGTAATGGGTCAGTAGAAGGGCCTGTGGTACTTACCACAGAGAATTTACCCTATTTTATCACACAAAGAAAGAAAGATACATCTATTCAACTTCGGTTGTGTTCTGTGCAATATCCTGTGGGAAGTCACGCAGCTGCAAGGCAAGGTTTCCTTCCGAGGACAAGGCAGCTCACATTGGGTCAGTGTCCTTCCAGATCCTGTCTTTCCGGTGGCCAGGCCGGGGGCCTGGAGCCAGCTTGCACCTCGTCTGGGAAGGCATGTGCTGGCCCAGGAGACACAGAGAGAATGACATGGGATCCCCCAGTGAACTTCGGGAAATGCGAAAAACGTCATGTTCTCATTTCTTGGATTTCTACTGAGCAACATTTCTCTTTCTCCAAAAACCCAGACCACAGGGCTGACACGGAAAAAGCCACACTCCAGGGTGACCTTTGCTCTTGTTTGGTGCCTAACATCAGCTTTCCTTCCTTCTTTCAGAGGATAAGTCACATATCCCGGTGAGGGGTGAAATGGCGCTTCTCTTTCTCTGCATTAACAGATGACTAACCATAAACATCCAAGGTGCAGTTTGTTGGAGCATGTAGCTCCCAAGGTCAATGACACCCAAAAGGAATGAATACATGGCTCAAAAGGAAAATGCTGATCGGAATAAAACGGTGGAAAAAATAATCGTATTTATTTTAAAAGAGCTTTTGTCCTCCCTTAAACATGGAACTCCCGCTTCCTGAGGAAGATTTCGGAGGGATAGTCCACGTTGGTCGGGTGGTTCTCTCTAACGCCGCACCTGCCTGTGTGGGCCTCACTCCGCAGACCCCTCTGCGGGGCCCTTCTGCCCAGGAAACGTGCTCTGCCCACAGCTGGCCCAGGAGCATAGGTGTCAGTGAATCCCGAAGGTCACGTCCTTTTGTCAGTAAGTCTGGGCACACCTAACTGAGTTCTAAGAAAGTGGATCAGCTTGGTCTCGGTGAGGAACACTGTCCCGAGCGTCGCTCCCAGACAGAGGGCCCCCACGGCCACGTGCGCCAGCCGGAACAGCCAGCCCTGCTCACAGCAGAGGAGCGCCTGTGGAAAGAAGCCGCTATCACAACCCTGGCCGCCTCCTTGTGGGGCAAGCTGGGGGAAGCAGAGGCCCCGTTGTTCCAACTCTGAGTCAGATCAAGGGCATGACAACCATGCCCTGAGGGTCTACCCTGTCCCCACTGCGGACAGCTGTCCTAAGAGGCTTAGGGGAGGGACCAGAGGTGGGAAATACTTGTCCAGCTGCTTCAGGCAGAGCTGGAAGGGGAAGCCTAGAGGGAGGAACAGGGGACAGCTTGCTTCAGGGACTCTCACCTCTGAAACACCAGTAATCCCACCACTGAGGGCAAACATGCCAACGAGGACCGGAGGCAGCTGCAGGCCCGCCAGGGGCCTGTGGGGGCTCTCACGGTAGTAGCGGTGGATGAAGTAAAGGCTTTGCATGATCCGGATGCCCATGTTAAAGCAGTTGGCCAAGATGAAGCCCACACTGCCATACCAACGGGTCAGGAGATAGGACAGCACCAGGAATGAAGATGACAGGGCCAGCATTGTGAAGTTGTACCTGGAGAGAGGGAAATAAGCAAAGCAGGGCAGTGGCAACTTGTCCTAAGAGAGAGCTCCTGCAAAAAATAAGTGGTGCCAAAACCGGTTTGGCTCAGTGGATAGAGCATTAGCCTGAGGACTGAAGAGTCCCAGGTTCGATTCTGGTCAAGGGCATGTATCTTGGTTGCAGGCACATCCCGCAGGAGGCGGCTGATCGATGTTTCTAGCTTTCTATCCATCTCCCTTCCTCTCTATGAAAGATCAATAAAAATATTTAAAAATAAAAATAAGTGGCTGTGAACATGAGTTGAACTGCAACCTATGAACCAGGAGGTCAGGGTCCGATTCCCAGTCAGAGCACATGCCTGTGTTGCGGGCTCAATCCCCAGTGTGGGGCATGCAGGTGGCAGCCAATCAATGATTCTCATCACTGAAGTTTCTATTTATCTCTACCTCTCCCTTCCTCTCTGAAATCAATAGAAATGTTATATATAAATATATGTTTAGTATTTCAAAATTAAACTTAACTACCTGAAGTAAATACCATGTCAAGACCATTATTTGAAAACTGTTATATTGTGTTCTAAAAGCAGGCTGGAAAATCAATTTAGTGGGTCATTATATGGCAGTTTAAAAATAAAACAACAGACAGAAACCCTCCTAGCTGAGACACTTCTGAGCCTCATAGCCAATTGCTTGGAGATCAACGCTTCCCAGGGGTACCAACAACAAGCAAGACTTAACAAGACAGCACACACAGCCCACAAAAGGCTATACCAAGACTGTACACCTCAGGTAACTGGGAGGCTGACCCACTGAACCATATAGGACATCTTAGCACACAAAGCCACCCTACCAACTCAGGGAAGCTGTGAAAATGCTGAGACAAGGAAACAGATCACAAATGAAAGAAATGGAGGACAAAAAGCGACTGGATATAGAGTTCAAAACCACGCTTATAAGGTTTTTCAAGAATTTCCTAGAAAAGGCCGATAAAATAAACGAGACCTATGAGGATATGAAAAGGGATCAACTAGAAATAAAGAACACATTGTCTGAAATAAAAAATATCATACAGAGTCCTAAAAACAGAATGGAAGATTGCAAGAATCAAGTCAAAGATTTGGAACATAAAGAGCCAGAGGACACTCCTCTGCAGAAGCAAGAAGACAAGAGAATCCAGAAAGCTGAAGATAATGTAAGAAACCTCTGGGACAACTTCAAGCAAACCAACATCAGAATTATGGGGCTCCCAGAAGATGAGAGAGAGTAAGATACAGAAAACATATTGAAAGAAATAGTGACAGAAAACTTCCCCCACCTGGGGAAAGAAATAGACTTACAAGTCCAGGAAGCGCACAGAACCCCAAACAAAAGGAACCCAAAGAGGACCACACCAAGACACATCATAATTAAAATTCCAAGAGCAGCCAAAACCGGTTTGGCTCAGTGGTAGAGCGTCGGTCTGTGGACTGAAAGGTCCCAGGTTCGATGCCAGTCAAGGGCATGTACATTGGTTGCGGGCACATCCCTGGTAGGGGGTGTGAAAGAGGTAGCTGGTCTATGTTTCTCTCTCATCGACGTTTCTAGCTCTCTCTCTCTCTCCCTTCCTCTGTAAAAAATCAATAATAATAATAAAAAAAGTGTTGCTTATTTAAAAAAAAAATTCCAAGAGCAAAAGACAAAGAGAGAATATTAAAAGCAGCAAGAGAAAAGCAGGTAGTTACCTATAAAGGAGCAACCATATGATTGTCAGCTGGTTTCTTAACAGAAACCATGCAGGCCAGACGGGAATGGCAAGAAATATTCAAGGTGATGAATAGCAAGAACCTACAGCCAAGGTGATGAATAGCAAGAACTCTACCCAGAAAAGCTATCACTCAGAATGGAAGGCCAGATAAAGAGCTTCACAAATAAAAAAAAGCTAAAGGAGTTCATTACCGCCAAACCAGAATTATATGAATTGCTGAAAGGAGTTCTTTAGGAAGAGGAAGAAGATATAGATAAAAATTATAATCAACAAATACGTAACTATCAACAAATGAAACTAAAAGCCAAGGGAATTAAAAAACCTGATGAACAATATTAACTGGTGAATATAATACAATCAGAGGTATGGAAGGGGAATGGACTGATGATTCTCAGGGAAAAGGGGAGTGGGAGGTGTGGGAAGAGCCTGAACAAAAACCATGCACCTATGGATGAGGACAATAGGGGGTGGGGAAAGGTCAAAGGGTGGGGTGGGAACCTGGTAGAGAGAAGCAATGAGGGGGGAAAAATGAGGAACATTTGTAATAATCTGAACAATAAAGATTTGTTGTGTGTTTTTTTTAAAGTAAAAAAATAAAAAGTAAAAATAAAAAATTAAATAAAATAAAAATAAAACAACAGCCCTGCTAATGTTCCTCTGTTTTTAGAGTGTCAGCCTGCTCACCAAAGGGTTTCGAATTCAATTCCCACTCAAGGACACATACCTGGGTTGCAGGTTTGATTCACGTGTAGGAGGAAACCAATCAATGTGTCTCTCACATTGATGTTTCTCTCCTCCTTCTCCCTCCCTCCCTTCTACTCTCACTAAAATAGCCAAAGTGAAGTAATGTGCCCATCTCCTTTATTCATTCTGGACCTGCCCTTACAAAAGGCTCTTTTAGAGGTGGCGCCTGGCCACTAGCACATGCCTTCCCCAGGCTCTCACTGCACACCCACCATTGGTGGAGGAAGGAATATGGGCCTGATTACACACACACACACACACACACACACACACACACACACAGTGGCCAGATTATTATGATCTCTGAACACATATATATTAGAGGCCCGGTGCATGAATTTGTGCATGGGTGAGGGGTCATGGGCAGTTGGCCAGCCTGCCTGCTGGTTAAACTCCTAATTGAGGGGACAATTTGCACATTAGCCTTTTATTATATAGTATATACACTGAGTGGCCAGATTATTATGCGTTCAGAGATCATAAAAATCTAGCCACTCAGTATATGTATATGTATATGTATATGTATATGTATATGTATATGTATATCTCCTCAGGTGAGGGTTAACAACAAAAAATACTAATAAAAATGAAACAATAGAATTACTAGTAAAAGCTATCAGTGTGTCCTGTGCATAACTGGTGAACTTCCTGCTTCTTGAAAGCAGAAAGTTTCAGTCATGGCCACCTGAATATGTATCGGGCCACGGTGCCCAATGTAGTTTCTACTGTGAAAGCTGGTTTGGGCCAGCAGTTCCTCGGGCCCCAGCTGTCCTGGAAATCTCCTGGAGCTGTGTAATGGCAGACCCCTTGGCCCAGGCCCCTACAATTCTAGTTCTGTTGCTCTAGGAGTGGCTAGAACTTCCTAAGGGAACCTGATCAGTCTGGGGTTTGCTGCTCTAGACTCAAGTTCTAAACTATGGTGTAGCAAACAAAGTCACAAGCTTCTTTGCGAGACAGTACACAGGGGAAGAGAGGCTGTTCTGAATGAGAGGAAGGGCTCCCCAAGTCCTTTCCCATCCCACCCCACCACTGGCCTGAGGGCTTTCAGCAGCACTCAAGGCAGTTTAGAGGAAGCATAAACCCCTTCTTCCCTCCTCAAGGGACCAGGCCTCAGTGGCAAAGGGATAACGAGGGCCCCTCATCCCATTACCTGCACCCACCCCTTCTACTCTCTCTCCTTCTCCCTATCACTTTCATCACTCTCCTCAACCTCATCCTGTAGTGGTATCTTAAGATACAGGCTTGCTACTTTTGGTATTTGGACACAAGAGATGAAAGATCCTGGGTTCATTCATGAGCAGTTCATGTCAAAGTCACTAGAGCTTTTAAACACACACACACACACACACACACACAGTTAGGAGCCTGCTGATTCTGTAGGTGTGGTAGGAGAGAATGCTGGAAGTAGGTGGGCAGGAATCTGCATTTCTAGCAAGCCTCATGGGGGATTCTGACTCACAACCAGTGTGAACAACCACTGCTTGAGGTTCCAGGGCAGAGGTTCTGGTCTGTTGTCAATGGATGATAAAAATGGACAAAACATGTATGTTCACATGAGCTTTTCTCTGAGAGCAATGTCACAGATCCTGAGATTCTTAAAGACCCACAAATCAGATGAGACGTCCCTTGGTAACCCTGTGGAGCAGTAAGCAAGGAAGTGGAGGAGGAGAGCTTGTCTTGTGCACGTCTCTGCAAACCTGGACTAACAGCCGTTCAAGCCCAGATTCCTTCCTCCACCAGTGGTGGGTGTGCACTGAGAGCCTGGGGAAGGCATGTACTAGTGACCGGGCGCCACCTCTAAAAGAGCCTTCTGTAAGGACAGGTCCAGAATGAAAAGAAAGAAAGGCCATGAATAGAGGCGTGTCTTTAAGGTTACCTACCTGTCGACCTGTTCCTTGCTCATGGCAGCAAAGGTGAAACACTCGGTTACTCCATTGATGGCCAGCAGGAGAACATAGAGACAATAAGTTCTCAGCAAAACAGGACCTGGAAGGAAACAACCCACTGAGCTGCCACAGGCCAAAAGGGGGGCCCCACCCACTCTCATGTGGCGGGTGGTCAGAGAACACCAGCAGGGGGTCATGAGCCCTGCTGGCATCATCAGGGGCAAATGCACGCTCAAGTCTGTGGTCTTAATGACCTGGAAGGACTCCTAGCATTCCATGGCACTGACTAAAATAAACAGCTAAAAACAAAAGGATAACGTATGAATAAATACATAGATCTCTTGCTTAACAGCTAAAAGCTTATCTGGCCAGCAAGCAAATCTCGCTTTTTAAACCAGCACGAGAGGCCTGCTGGTTGGAGCACTCAGGGCACTAGGGCTGCGTTAGGAGAACCTCAGTTGAAAGAGTCCTGAAGAAAAGACCTTGGGGAGAAAAGGAGCAGCAGGCAGCTTCAGGGAGAGAACACCCACAAATCCGCAGGGAGAATCAGATCCCACGATGTTATTTTTTTCTATAACAAAGTAATGCAATTTTAAAACTAGCTCTGAAAAAATCTGCTATCAAAAGATCAGAAGCCTTAAAAATGGGACTGGCCCGCAGTTTAGGAGGGCCGTTATCAAGAGGCAGCCAAGCAATTGTTAATAAACTTAACACATGCCAAATCTATGAGCTAGCAATACCACCCCTAGGTATATACTTCCTACAGGAGAAAAATCACATGTTCACAAAAACACTTGTACATAAATGTCCTCAACAGTTTTACATATAACAACCCAGACCAACATTAATAGGAGAAAGAATAAACTAACTGTGAGCCATCCATTCAGAGTCAGGAGCAGGGGACGAGGGGGAGGGGAAACGAGGGAAGGAGAGCTAGCAGGCTCCCAGGTAGACACACTGACTACCAGAAGCCACGATGGGCTCTAAAAGGCTAAAGTTTGGTCAAAATGAGAGGCAGCTATAATATAATGTGGAGACAAGACTAGAAGACCCTGCTGGGACATGACGCTGGCGCAGCCTGGCCAGGCAAGATGACCATGGCCCTGAAGAACTGGCCACCCCCAGACACAGACTCTTTTCACAGACCATTCTCAAGACTCCTCTGTGAAGAGATACTGGGAATACCTTTTTGAGTCTCAAGTTATTAATGACTGTGACATAAACCATTGAGGCATTTTTACCTTTGAAATCAACTAACACCGACCCTTTAGATGATGGATCAATGTTATTATCAAAGCTCAAACCTGGCACCGGCATCTCACTGGAGTAAAAGGACTACACAGTCACAGTCGCTTCTTTATGTATCTTCTGTGACTGATGACTCCCCTGGGTGAACATCCCATGGATGGGACAGCCCTCTCCTCCCGGCAGCTCCTGAAATTACTACATTAAAGGCTGCTCCTGGGTGATCACCTTCCTAAAGGGGCAGAGCTGCTGTGGGAACAGCTGAGCCCCAGTCTCTGCGCAGACTTACTGCCGGCTTCCCACTGAGGCCTCCCTGCAGCTGCCTGATAGGAACACACTTTTCCCAGCGGGAGCCCCAGGGCGCTGCACGCCTGGCCCTGGTTTCACAGCAGGAGTTTCTCCAAACTTAATGGCCTTTGTTCTTTTCCTAACACCAAAGTCTGGGCTCACTACACGGAGACCAAAGCTACAGCGGAGACTAAAACATGCCCGAGAACGTATAAAACGGCAACTGAGATGGCACAGCAGAAAGAAGTCTTCAGGGTCCTTGTCTAGTGACCTGAGGGATGCAAAACACCTTTTTGAAACCCAAGAGGAAACACTGCAAATGGACTGCCAGCCTATGCCCAGTGCATTCTGACAGCGGTGCCTAGCAAGTGCTTCAAGGTGCATAGTGGCCCGGGCTCCAGGTGTGTCAGAGCTCGACACAGTCAATACTTTCCCCCTTCAAACACTGAGTCGCTGGACTGTATGTACAATTTTATTTGCCGAGATCAATTTTACTCTCTGCAGTGGCTCTGGGTTACCCTTCAAAGGCTTTTATGCATCGGGCCGTGAGATTTATGTTGTACAGACTATCTTCAGTGTGTTCAGTACCAAGTGGAGGTACTGGTTCTGCCCTCCTCCTTCACCCTTACTGTATAAGGCCCGAGAAATCCTTTGGTCTGGCCCTGCCAAGGCAATCGCAGGCAGGACTCAAAACTCAATAAATCTGAGAGCTTTTTTCATAGCAACATAAATTTATATTAAGTGAATGGTATCCAAATGGCAAAAAAAGGTTCCCCACCCTGCCCTAGAGGGTGCACAAGGAAGCAGTTGGCAAACCCAACTCAGGCCTAAGAGGAAAGCCAAGGATTTTTTTTTTTCCCCTAAAAGTTAATCCTCATCTGAGGATATGTTTATTTATTGGTTTTTAGAGAAAGGGAGAGGGAGAGAGGGAGAGAAACATTGATCATTGCCTCAGGTACACACCCTGACCTGGGATAGATCCTGTAACCTAGGTATGTGCCCTGAATGGAATTGAACCCGAAACCTTTTGGTGTGTGGGACCACACTCCAACCAAGCCACCCCAGCCAGGGCAAGCCAAGGGTTCTTAGCAACTTCTTCAAGTGAGGGGGGGGAAGACCTGGTCTGACCTCCTCTGAGGGGAAGAGTCCCACCCACAGCCCCGCCACCACCAATTCTCCCGTCATGACACAGATTGCAATGTGTGTGCACAAGCTCTTGAATTTCATAAGACTCCCTTATTTCTGTTCAGAAATTAGAACACATCTGGCAACTCTTGTGCATACCTGATCCTGAGCTAAGCATGGCCCCTCCATAGATATCCAAAGCCAGCTGAGAGTAGGCAAAGCCAAAAACAGTGATGGTCAGGCCGGTCAGCAGGGCCAGCTTGAGCAGGGACTCCAAAACCGTGGCGGCCACAGCAACATCCTCCTGGTGCCGAGGAGAGGGAAGGAAGTTGGATGAACCATGAGCTGAAGGAAACCCTCGCATCTGGCCTCCCCTGTTCTGTTTCCTGGCCACTCCTTCAGCTGGTGAGGGCATCACCGCTTTCTGCAGCCTGGGCTTGTCTGCCAACCAGCAAAGGGAGGGAAGGACACTGTGTGCCTCCTTCGGGAGTGCAGGGGCGCCTTCGTGTCGAACTCGTCAAACGCTTCTTAGGAGACACTCACTGTCCCCTCTGATATTTACTCTTAAATGGGATGGCCATGTTTTACATTGCCAGCTAGCTTTGCCTTTGCCAGTGTTCTCCTGACAAACATCTCCAAATCCTGAAGTTCCTGTTAGTGTACTTAGGAAAATATTTATAAATCAAATGGAGAACCAGATTAGCTCATCGTGAGATGCTGTGCTTAAACGATATTTTGCAAAATGTCTTCTAAAACATGTAAGAGGCCGGCTTAGCTTGCTTTTCATTCTAAAATAATCCAGACATTTTCAATGGTTTTAGAAGAGGGGAAGTTTATGTAACCAAATACTTCTAGATTAAAATCTCTTCTGTATTGACCAACTGGAATAGGTAGATTCTCACGGTCAGAATGTAGCTCTGGGCACTTCACTTAAGAAGCTTAAACATCTGGTGTGGCGAGAGAAACCAAGTGACTAGATCCTTCCCTCCCCAGGTTCTCGGTCAGCCTTGTCCCAGTCTCTGAGTCCCTTGGCTCACCTCTGGTCTTACACCCAAGACTAGACCAGGGAGGGGTCTGTGCTGCGTTGGGGACAGCGATCGAGAGTTCTAAGAGGGCTGGGTCAAGAATAGGTCACTAAGAGGGACATGCGGTGAAAAGAAAGGGCCAGCCAGTGAGAAAGGGAGAGGCCGTGAAAGAAGACCGAGCACAGGGTCCTGCCAGCATGCAGTCAGAGTGGAAAGCAAGCATGTCAAACTCTCCACCCTCAATGGATATTTCTGCGGCCCAGCCAATGTTTCAACATGGTATGCAAGAAACGTCTTAATAAAATTTTGTAATTTTAATTTCTGCAATATCCTGTTATACATAATTATTGATGACTACAACATTCGCTAGAAACTAGATTACTATAATGGTGTTGCATTCATTTCCCTCACGCGCCTTACACCCAGGCGCACCATTTCTCTCCACTAATGCTAGCAGCAAATATTTGAGCAGCCAAATGCCACATCACTGACTTGTTTGGTGTGCGCAAAAGGAACTATTTCACTTTCAGAGAACAAGAAAAATAGGCTTATTTTCGTTACGCTTATTAATTTATGCAGTTATTCAGTGTCTGGTAAGTTAATGTTCAAGAAAAAAATATTAATTTTTATTAAAATTTCTATTATTTTATGTTAATGATTACTCATTTATTTCAGCCCTTTGTGTTCAGCATGTCTCTATCAAAATAAACCTACCTTCCTATGAAAGTTGAAGCTTTTGTTTTTTTGCGGCCCACATCAACTTAAACCTTGTTTATTTGGCCCGTGTGAGCCTTTGAGTTTGACAAGCTTGGTGTAGAAAAATGAAATCTAGAAGAAAATTTCAGATCAGACAGAAGGGAAACAGACTGCTCCACATTTTTGTCTATTTATCTTGCGATTAGAGAGACAGTTCATTTGAGATGGTGACATAGGAACCAGGACTACCTGCTTCTGAAGTGTGGCATCCTTTTCTCTCTCCAGTACCTTCGCGAAGAATATATAAAAACTCTCCTCTATTGGCTGGAAAATTAATCTGGCCACAAGGGAGCCGAGATTATTCACTATATCATACACACCTACAAAACAAAAGGAAGAAACAGCAATCCTACTGGGTTTCCTCGAATTTCCTCAGCACTATTAACTTTTTATCTGATTCAATTTTTAAAATAAAACTTTTTGGTGTAACTATAGTCACATGTAGTTGTAAAAAAAAATAAGAGATCCAGGTACTCTTTGCCCAGTTTCCCTGAAGAGTGACATCTTGCAAAACTCTAGTACAAAACTCTAGTACAATGTACTGATATTGACAATTAAGATACAGAACTAGTGATTTTGGCTCAGTGGATAGAGCATCAGCCTGCAGAATGAAGTGTCCCCGGCTCAATTCTGGTCAAGGGCATGTAACTTGGCTGCAGGCTCAATCGCCAGCCCTGGTCAGAGCATGTGCAGGAAGCAACCAATTGATGTGTCTATCTCACATCGATGTTTCTGTCTCTCTCCCTCCCTTCCACTCTCTCTAAAAATCAATGGAAAAGTATCATCCAGTAAGGATTAACAACAACAGACACAGAATACTTCCTTCACCAGCACTTTTCTATAAAAGTCATTAATACCACGTGGATTTTTTTCCTATTTTTATTTCCACCACTCGGAGGTTATATTAAAAATATATCTGAAAAAATTATAGGTAGCCACACAAACATGGGGTGTATCTTTGTGACTGTGATGATAAACTCCCTTTTCTCTTCTCTTAGCACCTTCCCACCCCCAAAATAAGCATCAGAGCTCTGTGGAAAGCAGGGTAAGGCGGGATCTCAACAGAGAACCTGCCACTGTATCTATTTATAAAGGCCTACAATTTTCAATCTACAGGACTCATGTCTTTATAATTTTCCTTTTATATAATTCCTAGGTTCATTTTCATAAATCATATCAAAGTGCAGAGAAAAATATTAGGCAGTATCTATTAACAGTATTCCCCTTTAATGAAAACTACTGGATTTCATCTTACCCTGATCGCCAAAATTTAACACATTCAAAAATGTCATCACATATCGTTCCCCTGCAGATAGAATAGCAAAATAATTAGCATTTCTATTGTATAGTATTTTCTTGTTTCCTTTTCTCTTATCATCTATCAACTTTTCCTGTTGGCAAGTATCTGAAAGGAGAAAAATTAGATGGCCACCAGGGGAGGGCAGTTGTGGGCAATCAGGCCAGCAGGGGAGGGCAATTAGGGGTGACTAGGCATGAAGGCGAGGGCAGTTAGGGGTGACCAGGCCTGCAGGGGAGGACAGTTAAGGGTGACCAGGCTGGCAAGGGAGGGAAGTTAGGGGTGACCAGGCCAGCAGGGAAGGGCAGTTGGGGGCAATTGGGCCAGCATGGGAGCAGTTAGGTGTTGATCAGGCTGGCAGGCGAAAGTGGTTAGGGGAAATCAGGCAGGCAGGCAGGTGAGCGGTTGGGAGCCAGCAGTCCTGGATTGTGAGAAGGATCAGGTCTAAACAGGCAGTTGGACATCCCTGAAGAGGTCCCCGATTGAAGAGGGTGTAGGCTGAGCTGAGGACACACCCCCCATGCACAAATTTCATGCACCGAGCCTCTAGTGAGATAATAATAATGATGGTTGTAGAGCACTAAAATTATTGGAAACTTTTTATTTTCCCAAATTTTTATAATGGAGTTATATTATTTTTATAATTAAAAGACAATTTTTTAAAAGATTTAAAAATATGTTCAGTATTAGGTATGTAGGTGTATAGACATATGAAACTTATATAAAGAAACTACTACTTTCAGCAGCTTACAGTTACCTCAAATCTCATTCTTTGAACTGAAACTGGGTATAAGTAAACCAATGTACATACACAGGAAAATGAGATGTATGTTTAGCTCCTTGGTGGCCCTCTGCATGGAGAGCTCTTCACTGTTACCCTGGAAAGGCGGAAGGCTGACCAAACTATTACAAAGGTGAATCTTACTGTTTAAGAAAATAAAATGAAAACCTGGTTGTTTACAAAGTTAAAAAAAAAAGTGTATAAAAAAGAATAGAATCTACAAATTTTTCTATAATTGATATAATCCTTTTATAATACATTTTTTAAAGTGACATAACATGGGGTTTTGGAGAGAGACCTGGACTCAAAATTAAGTTATTTTTCATTATTGAAAGACCCCAAAGAAGTTGCATAACCTCATTGACCCTCCGTTTCTTCATCCAAAATAAACAAAGACAAGTAAGTAAAGGATCAAGCAAAGGAGATGCCAGTTTCCCTGTTCTTACATGAAAAGCCCTGTTTCTGAGGTTCCTCTGCCCAGGGCTGTGGACAGCAGGTGGTCGGGATGGGATCCCCTTGCTTATACTATGGGCTTCCTAACTGCTCAGGATAACCTCTTACTTACCTTCTGTCAAAATCTGTTTCAAGAAAGACTGTTTGAAAAAACTCCAAGTCAATTTAGCCTCTTCCCAATTCACAAAAGCCTAAAAGAGAAAACAAACAAACAAAAATATCCCAGGCACTGCAACTCTAAGACTACATTAATGCTACAGGAGAGGCAAATTTATTTGGTCCCTAAATTAAGGTGACCAGATGTCCCGATTTTTAACAATATGTCCTGCGTCCCACGGTGTTTTAAAAAAAAAGTCCGGAAAATGCCGTGGGACGCAGGACAAATTGTTCAAAATCGGATCTATCCTGTCAAAAGCGGGACGTCTGGTCACCTTACTCTAAATCCCAACTTCGATTTTCATTTAACACTAAGCAGACAGAGACATCCAACAAATATTGGCAAAGAATTCACATTCCTACACACGAAGACAAAATCTCTAGGTAGAACAGTCCCCTTGCGCACACGTGCCTGTCGGGGGCCTGCCCAGGACTCATGCGCAAAGGCCAGGCCCGCTCCACCTCTCCAGAAGGGTAGCTTTACTAGCAGCTACAGAAGTTAACGCGAGAGCAAGCTTGGGACCTGTCCCAGTCACATGGGCCCCTCCTCTTGGCCCAAAGCCCACCTGTATAGAGCAACACTACCCAGTAGAAATATAATGCAGGCCACATGCATAATTTTAAATTTCCTAGCAGCCACAGTGAACAGTAAAAAGAAACAGGTTAATTTTATATATAATAAATTAATTTAAATATATTTAACCCACAATCTCATCATTTCATCATGTAAAAACATACTGGAGGCATTTCACATTATTTTTTGTACCTAGTTTGAAGTCCAGTGGGTATTTTGCACTTACAGCTCACCTCAATTCCAAATGCTCCATAGCCACACGTGGTGGTGTTTACCACTTAGCGCAGGGCAAGTCTGGAGTACCCCTTGAAAAAGGGGTCATTTCCAGCCCTCAAATCTCCTCACCCCTGGGTTTCAGCCTTTCTTCCAGGCACTGAAAGGGCGGGCCTGACCCTCCCAAACTAACTTCCTTCATGGCACCACTGGACCTGGAGCAGATGCCAGGGGCAGCTCTAGTTCAGGAGTAAATCTTCCCCAGTGAGAAGGAAACTGGGTCTCCTTTCCCCAGAACAAAGAGCACCAGACTCCCTACCACCACCAGGGGACACTATGGGCCACATCATGTTTGGAGCACTGATCCTGCTCTAGGAGCCTGGGGCAGGACATCTCTCTCACATTCCCCATGCCAGGTGATCCTCTGGGGGGGCTCCCCCCAGCACTACCGGTGCTCTTTACAGGAAACAAACAGTTACAGCTGGTCCACGAGACTCTTCTGAAGCCTACTTGCTGGTAGATTGTGAATGGGAAGATGACTGAGTTACTTAAAAAATTTCTTAGGAGAGTGAAATCATGATTCTCTATGTGATACCTCGTACTTTAGCATTTCTTTCTCCCAATGCCTTCAATTTAAACATACCCATGACCCAGTGAGTGGCTCAGTTCAGGGTACTTGCCAGAGACAACCAATCAATGTTTCTCCCTCATCGATGTTTCTCTCCCTCTCCCTTCCTCTCCCCCCCCTTCTCTCTTTTCCTCTCTCTCCCTTCTCCCTCTCTCTAAAATAATAAAATAAAATAAAAATCAATGAGAACATATCCTTGGATGAGGATTAAAAAAAATAAAACAAATAAATTAAGCCATGATTCAGAAGGAATGGCTACACCTCTTACTATGTCCAAAATGCTCATTCAGAACAAAGAGGCAGGAAGACTGATTAGGTTTCTCCTCAGAGGTGTCTGCTAAGCAATAGAAAAGAAGTGCATTCTTTGGGCTTTTAGCATTCTGTTCAGAATGGATTTGTCTCATGGGACGGTGAAAAGAGGCCTATTTCACAAGAGGTGGGTTGGTACTGCGGAGCTGGTCCACAGGCTGTGAATTTCCCTGCAGCCTCCTGACCAACAAGCCAGTCCACTGCCTCACTGCACTGATGGAGACACTGAAGCGTGGATGGTGAAACATAGAGGCAGTGCCTCCATGGAAGGTGTGAGACCAGAACTCTGGGCCTCACTCTGCTTTAATCTGAGTCACTCACTTCTGCCTACCCATGTGTCAAGGCCCAGATCAAAAGCAGCTTCCTCCATAAAGCATTCCTCAGTGCTCCCAGATGGAGTTTATCAGATCTTCTCTGTGCCTCTATTTTGTTAATACCAGACGAACACACAAACACACACACACACTCTGTCTGCCTTGCAGTGCAGTTAGCTGAGTACACATCTTAACTCCCCACCACAAGGCAAGTTCTGAAGGCAGGAACCTTACTGAGGACACTTAGTACAGTGGTTAACACAGAATACTGCTAGATACATGCTTACTGTGTTAAATTCCTCAGCTTTACTTAAATATTAGCAGACCTCCCGTATTAAATCACTCAGAAGCGTGAGAGTATAAAAGATATATATTGACAGTCATTATTTGAGGATCATAATTTAAGTCTTAGTAAGTACCTTTTAAAAAATGGAGTTCTATAAGAATTGGAAAGAAATTTCCCAACGTGGTCAAATTGAGTTTGACCAGTTTCATAGGAGGGAACTCCCAAGTACAGAAAACTACTCCAGAGAGTCAGGTTAGGAATATTGCCAGTGGTAATGTCATCCACTGAATTAAAAATTCATCTTCTTTCTCATTTCTTTGAAAAAAAAAAACAAACACACACACACACACACACACACACACCCCCCAAACTTGAATACTGAATATTTTTACCTGAAATTTCCAAATCTTTAAGTAAATAAATATTTGGGGCAATAGCCATTTCTTTTGCAAAACTACATAGTATAGAGGTTAACACACAGACTAAAGTTAGTCCACAGACAGAAGTTAGAGAGAAATGGGTCCAAAAACCAGCTGTGTGATTTTGGGTTAGTTACTTAACTTCTCTGGACCTGTTTTCTCATCTGTAAAATGGAAGCAATAGGATGCATTTCATAGGGCACTATGAGGACCGGGTAAAGTGCTTAGCACAGAGCCAGGCACATGCAGTCGATGGCATTTATTATATAGCTGGCTCTTTGCCAAAGTTCAAATACTTTCACAGAACTCTTTAAGTCTTCAGAGGGGCCTCAGAGTCCATGCAGCCCAACACCCTCACCTTTAACATGGGGACTCGAGGTCTGCAGAGCCCTGCAGGCTTCACCTCTGCAGGTACTGCCTGCCATATGCACAGGAGCCTCTGAGGCCCAGCAACCACCTCCCTCTATGTCTGTATCCCGGCCGGCAGCCAGCACGGGCTGTGCTGTTTGTCAGCAGGAACAGAGCCACGGTGTATGACAGGTACACACAACCTTCTTGTGGCCCAGGCTCTGGCCCAGCAGCACGAGCATGGGTACGTGGGGACAGTCGGCAGTTAACACGCTGAACTCTCGCACCAGTGCCACCGTGTGTGCCTTGCGAGGACGTTTCAGAGGAGCTATTTCTGCGCTCAGGGCAACAGTGACAGATGATGGTCACTATGGTCACCCAGCTGGGCCAGGCCAGGTTATACACCTTACATGCCCCATCTCATCAATCACGTTAGGAGGGATGGACTCTTATCACCATTTGACAGGTAAGAAAATGAAACTGGGAGTTCTGAGCCCATCATAGGATTAGTTACACCCTGGACAGACTCCTCTCATTACCCTCTTCTGTCTGTATTAATGGTCCAAATGCTCCTTTCCAAAATACTGCCGGGGCAGGAGCTGGCTCAGTGGTTCAGCTGGCCAGGCTGGGACAGGTGGGCCCCCAGGAGCATCAGGGAGGGACTTTCCTGCATGCTCAGTCCCGCTGAGGCAGGTGGCAGAAGCTCCAGACAAGAGGAGCCATCTCGAGTCCTAAGCTCGATGGCTGCAGATGAGGCATTGTGGTATCCCCAAATTATCACGTTAATTTAGATTAAAGGTAAGATCAGAATGGAGAACTCCTATCTAGCAAATCAGAACATATCTGGCTTTGTTACATAGAAGTGGCTTTTCTTGAAAAGTTGTAGAGCAAGATTCCGTAAGTTCTGAGACTAAAGTTCCAAATATTTTATAGCTTTTTAAAGTAGCCCAGCTGGTGTTGCTCAGTGGTTGAGCATTGACCTATGAACCAAAAGGTCATAGTTCGATTCCTGTCAGGGCACATGTGCTGGTTGTGGGCTGATCCTGCAGGAGGCAGCTGATCAATAATTCTCTCTCATCATTGATATTTCTAACTCTCTCTCCCCCTTCTTTGAAGTCAATAAAAATATTTTTAAAATAATAAAGTAATCACAAAAGAGGAGAAGGAGTAGGAAAAGATTATGCTTGGCTCCCACACATTAGCATCCTCAGAGGATTACACATCCTCAGAGGGGAAATGGGTCACCTGAGAGAGGCCTGACACTAGCTGAGGGACTATGCAGGCATTGTCCCTGCTTTGTCAGCACTCCGGAATGTCTGTGCCAGAGGTCAATTCTGGGGGAAACCAAGGGGCAGCAGGACAGAGAGTGGGAAACAGTGGTTACAGCTTGCGGTCTGCTGGGATCCAAGCCACTCCAGGATACTGTCCTCACTCTGACCTTCACCTTGGGCAGGTAGTCACTAAGCCTCAGTTTCTCAACCATAAAATATAAACAACAGTGTCAGCCTCACAGAGTTATTACACATAAAGGCATGTAGAGTGCTCGGCATAAGACCTAGCACATGGGTTCTCAATTTTTGTCTCCGAGGGGACATTGGCAGTGTCTGAGGACATTGGCGGTATCTGTAGTTGTTATACTGGGGGGTAGGAGCACAAGCATCTTGTGGGTAAAAACTGAGAATATGCCCAGCCAGTGCTTGAGTGTCAATCTATGAACCAGGAGGTTACTATTCCATTCCTAGTCAGGGCATATGCCTGGGTTGCTGGCTCAATTCCCAGTTGGGCAGGGGCGGGGGAACGGTGCAGGAGGCAGCCAATTGATGATTCTCTCTCATTATTGATGTTTCTATCTCTCTCTCCCTCTCCTTTCCTCTCTAAAATCAATAATAAGTAAAATTAAAAATAAATCAAGAATGCTGTTCAGCATCCCACAATGCAGAGGATAGTTCCTAAACAAAGAACTATCCAGACCAAAATGTCAATACTGCCAAGATTTAGAATCCCTGGCTGAGCACACAGCAAGCACTCAAAAGATATGAGCTATTAAATTATCTTTACTACTCTAATAATAATAAACAATTACATTACAGTATCTTTCCCTCCAGGATAACGAGCATCTGTGATTAAAATGATGAGACAAAAATACATTACTTACTCTGCTTCTCAGAATACTGGGTAGCAGGTCTGTCATTCTGGAGACAGGAAGCGTTTGTTGCTTGGTTGATTTTGGGAAACCCAGTAACTTTTTGAAATAAGTAACATAGCAGAGCACCAGAACTGTAGTATAGGAAAGCTGGGGGAGAAGAAAATAACGGGTTTAAATCGCACTGTTTAATATAGGCCTAATTAAGACATGCCTATAAATTTGACCTCAAAGGTCAATCAAGAGAACAGTCTTAATTAACTGCACCTTCTGGTCTGTCCACTGAGACCCAGCAGCAGCAGCGTCACCAGGGAAAGTGTTCCACCCCCTTCACCTGACTGGGCAAGCAGAATACAACTTCCAGACAGACATCCACGGGTGCCAACGGCCACACCAATGTCAGACACGTTCTCATAGGGTTTGCATTTGGCCAAAAAGCGGCTCTCCCGCCTGACAGCACACTGAGGATCCGTGTGTCCTGCCTGGGCACATCCAGGGACTGGCCATCATCTAGGACTGGGGAATTTCCACAGACCCCGGAAGCCTGTGACATTATGGTCCCAAGGCAGATCTGAGCTGCTGGGTCTCCCCTCTCTGCCCAGCGCATGGGCAGGGCAAGAGCTGCTAGAGGGTGGGGAGGGAAAGGGGATGGAAAGAGAGCCCACACACCTGGGCCGAAGGATGGCTTTGGCCGGGAGCAGCAGCCTGGGGTTTTATTTGCAGTTTGGGGAGGAATATTCCAAGTGGCTCCTTTCATAAGCTCCCTTCTCCCTTCTTTCCCCCTGAAAACAGCTCAAGAAAAAATGGGGCCTCCAGGCCTCCTTTCAATCTGAAAACACTTGTAAGAAAGGCACAGAGCAAGGACACAGAGGAGTCTCTGGTCAGCAGGTATAGGCTCCTCTGCTATCCACGCCTGTCCCATCCACGCCTGAGAACACAGCCCACCATCCATTTTTTCCTTCAGTTTTAGTGAGAAATAATGGACATACATCACTGTGTAAGTTTAAGTCTCACAGCATGATGGTTTGATTTACACATATTGGGAAATAATTACCACAATAGGTCCCGCTAGCATCCATCTTTTCATATAGACACAATAAAAAGAAAAGGGAAAAAATTTCTCCTTGTGATGGGAACTCAGAATTTACTCTCTTAATAACTTTCCTATATATCAGACAGCAGTGTTAGCTATTTTCATCATGTTAGATGTTACAGATAACTGGAAGTCTGTACCCTTTGACCACCTTCCTCCAATTCCCCCATCCTTCTTTCATGCTGCAAGCCAGCCTAAGACACAGCAGCACTGCTGTGCGCCACACCCCCTGCTGCCAGCATCCTGCGGTAAGTATCCTTTTTCCAGCTCCCTTCCCGCTCGCTTCACTTTCCCACTGAGCAAACCTGGGGAAACAATAACAACCTGTGGCAGGCCTTCCTGCAGCTATCCTAACTACATGCTCCCTCCCCTTTGTTTCTATTGAGGAAAATTCACGCAACATAGCACTGACTGTTTTAACCATTTTAAAGCACACAATTCAGTGGCTTTTAGTACATTCACAGCGTTGGATAGCCACCATCACTAACTCCCAAAAGAAAATTCCGTATCCATTAAGCAGTCACTCTCCATTTCCCCCAGCCTCTGGAAACCACTAATCTGCTTTGCCTCTGGACGGACTTGCCTATTCTGGGTATTATATATGAATGGAATCGTACAATAGGTGGCCTTCTGTGTCTGGCTTCTTTCGCTTAGGATAATGTTTTGCAAGTTCATTGTGCGTTTTATTTTTATGGCTGGACATTATTTTATTGTATGGATACACCACATTTTGCTTACCCATTCATCATCAGTTGGGCATTTTGGTTGCTTCCACCTTACAGCTATTGGGAATAGTGTTGCTATGGACATCCATGTTACTAGTTGTTTGTATACCGGTTTTTAATTCTTTGGGGTATAAACCTAGAAGTGAAATTGGTGGGTCTTTCGGTAGTTCTATATTTAACTTTTTAAAAATATATTTTTAATTGATTTCAGAGCAGAAGGGAGAGGGTAAGAGAGATAGAAACATCAATTTTGAGAAAGAGTCATTGATCAACTGTCTCCTGCATAACCCACACTAGGGATTGAGCCCCCCAACCTGGGCATGTGCCCTGACCAGGAATCAAACCATGACCTCCTGGTTCATAGGTTGACATTCAACCTCTGAGCCATGCAGACCAAGCCACATTTAATTTTTTGAGGAATTGCCAAACTGCTTTACACAAAGGCTGCATTGTTTTACTTTACCACCAGCAACTTATGGGGATTCCAATTTCTTCATATCCTCACCAACACTTGCTATTTTCTGCATTCTTTTGATAATAGCCATCAAAATGAGTATAAAGTGATATCTCACTGTGGTTTTGATTTACATTTGCCTAATGACTAACGATGTTGTACATTTTTCTCATGGGCTTTTTGGCCATTTATTTGTCTATCTTCTTTGGTGAAATGTCTACTCAAGTCCTTTACCACTTTTGGTCGTTTGTTTATTTGTTGTTGAGCTATAAAAATTCTTTATATATTCCAAAGTAACCCTATTATTTGACATTTGATGCCATGGGGTGAGGGGTTTATTTGAGGAGGAACCTGGAAGGGGGTTGGACGGAATCCCAGGGTGTTGGTGTGGCTTGCCCACTGATATGAGGAGCTGTTGGTTCTTAGACTTCTGACACATATATTGACAGAGAATGTACCAGTGAAGAACTCTCAGAAGTCTCTGATAAGGAAGCAAATAAATTCAGAACTGGTCTTGCTGTCTATGGCCTACACATGATATATCCTGGGAGGGAGCTCTGATCATTGGAAAGTCACAACGTAAGTGCCTTTCCCAAGAAGAGGCAACCAATAACTGGGTGTCTGTGTGGCCCTCCTGTCCTATCAGGGAGAGTGCATCAAAAAGTCTGAGGGCCGGCGAAACCGATTTGGCTCAATGGATAGAGCGTCGGCTTGGAGATTGAAAGGTCCCCGGTTCGTTTCCGGTCAAGGGTATGTACCTTGGTTGCGGGCACATCCCCAGTAGGGGGTGTGCAAGAGGCAGCTGATCGATGATTCTCTCTCATCGATGTTTCTAACTCTCTATTCCTCTCCCTTCCTTTCTGTACAAAATCAATAAAAATATATATTTTTTAAAAAGTCTGAGGGCCCAGCTGATGTACCTCAGTGGTTGAGCGTCGCCTCATGAACCAAGAAGTCACCCGTTCAATTTCCAGTTAGGGCACATGCCCAGGTTATGGGCTCGATTCCCAGTGGTGGGGCATGCAGGAAGGTGTCTCTTTCATCTATGTTTCTATCTCTCTCTAAAAATAAAAAACATTAAAAAAATTAAAATGTTAAAAAAAGTATGATGAATGCTGAGACTGTAGTTCTGGAGCTAATAAAACAAGGCAAAAATAACTTGTCTAAAATATGCAATTGTTTGCAAACTGCTTTTAGGTGGCAATTCTCATTCTTTTTAAATTTTACTTTATTTTATAATTCTTTATTGTTCAAAGTATTATATATGTCCCCTTTCCCCCCCATTGATCCCCTCCAGACCGCCCCCCCGCCCCCCCCAGACCTTCAGCACCCTATTGTCTGTGTCTCCATGTGTTATGCATCTATGCCTACCCACTCCCCCACCCCCCAGTTCTCATTCTTATTCTATTAATTTTAAATCTAGCTCTTCTATGTTGCACAAAAATATTTGTAGTTTTTATCTAGAACATGGAAAAGGTTTTTACATAAATCATTACTAAAAATTTTAACTTATCTTCCTATACATTAAGAAAAAATTACAAACTGCTTTGCACTATAAGATGTTCTGGTAACTAAAAGATCTTAGGTTTCATTTTTTAAAATATATATATATTTTATTGATTTTTTACAGAGAGGAAGGGAGAGAGATAGAGAGCTAGAAACATCGATGAGAGAGAAACATCGACCAGCTGCATCTTGCACACCCCAACCGGGGATGTGCCCGCAACCAATGTACATGCCCTTGACCGGAATCGAACCTAGGACCTTTCAGTCCGCAGACCGATGCTTTACCACTGAGCCAAACTAGTTTTGGCAAGGTTTCATTTTTTAAATTGGTACTTGTACTCTCTTATATTTTACTAGAATTAGAAATATGAACTGGAACTAGGGAAGATAAAATAGAAATTAAACCAAAACTAACAAAACTGAAAATGAACCTACTAAGACTTGGTTCATGCCCTCTGAATTACATGAGGTTTTTTTAAAAAATATGTTTTTATTTATTTATTGTTTTAGAGAGAGAGAGAGGAAAGGAAAGGAAGAGATAGAAACATCAATGAGAGAGAAACATCAATATCAACTGGCTACCTCTTCACACCTGGATAATGTGTCCTGACCGTGACCCTTTGATGCATGGGACAACACTCTAACCAACTGAGCCACATGGCCAGGGTGGAGATTTTATTCTAAGTTTAAAACAAAATGTGGCTCAGTTGGTTCCCCTGTCTTTCTCTCTAAAAGTTAAACTACGAGAAAAAAACAAAACAAAACAAAACAAAAACAGGATTGGCAGAGTTTCCTTTTAAATATGAAAAGTATTGATTGAAATCTAAGCAAGGTAACACGCATGCAATTTGATTCCCACCTCATCCCCGTACGGCTATTTTTATCCTCTGTAAGACAGACAATCACAGATCAGTTAGATTTGGGCTTGCTGACAGAATGCCTACAGGAGATTTTATGTTCGACAATGAGGCCTGGTGGGTCAGTGCATGGCACAGAGAAACATGGCAGCAGAGGAGCAGTGTCAAAACCATCAGAACTTCCAGTCTTCCTCACGTGCATAAATATTCAAATTAAGCCAGGTAATAATGGGAACAAGAAGAAAAACTCAGACGGGAAAACAGATATACAAAAGTGAAAGGCTGTAACTATTACCTGGGCCAAAGAGAAAATGTACAGCCCCCAGTGAGGCAGCCACAGCACGAGCGAAGCTGTCAGTACACTCTTGAGGATTACTGACAGGCTCTCAGCAATCACCTGCAAACACATGGTGAAGAGTGTTACTTAACACATTATTAAAAACTATTTTAAAAGATGCAAAGAAATGACAAACAGAAAATCTGGGCCAGCGGCTGCCCTGGCAGTGGGGCTGAGGCATGTGGCTGGACATGTTTTGGTAATGTCCTAACTGCATTGGGTGGCAGGTTCAGGGGTCTCCAGTATGTTATCATGCTTTAAGATTTACATGTTTGTTACAGACATTCTTTTGTACATATCAAGTTATATATTTTAAAAGATAAAAAGGTAATATTAGTATACAACTAAAAATATAATTAACTGGAAAACCTTTAGAGTCCTCTTAAATTCTTATCTAAACAAATACCTTCCCGATTAATAAACCTGTTTTTTCATAATAGCATAATAGAAGTAAACTTTAGTTCAGCCTACCTGCCAAATTTCAAGTGAATGAACTAAATTTATGATATTACCTTTCGAGATGCAAGTCTGAAAAATATTATTCTCTACTATAAAGGTATTTTTTTTTAAAAAAAAAAACAAAAGACATTCTTTCCCTTATTCTTTGCATTTCCCATTCACAGCAGAAGGCATACTGACCTTGAGCTTGACAAACATATGTGCTTGTGCCAAGACCCAGAAGGGCTCTCCCAGAAGTTCCACCACAGCTGAGAGACCAAACACCACCACTCCAGTTCCATAGTGGGGGACGACATTAGGATCAGGCACTTCAAGCAACCGTAACCAGACCCAGCCCAGGAACAAGGACCAAAACACACCCAGAGGGACTCTAAAAATGGGGGGAAATGTTTTTTAATAGGCTAAGCATAAAAACATAAATATATTTTACAATAGTGATACTGTCCTGGTTGGTTTTCTCAGTGGTTAGAGCATTGGCCCAAGCACCAAAGGATCTCAGGTTTGATTCCAGGTCAAGGGCACATACCTGGATTGCCCTTGTATGTGGCAATTGATTGCCTCCTTCATGCTCCCTAACCCATCAGGGAGCATGAAGGAGGCAATCAATTGATGTTTTTCTATCTCCTCCCTCCCTTCCACTCAATCAAGGGAAAAAAATATCCTCAGGTGTCCTAGCCAACTTGGCTCAGTGGACAGAGAATCAGCCTGCCGACTCAAGGGTCCAAGGTTCGATTCCAGCCAAGGGCACACGCCTGGGTTGGAGGCTCAATCCCCAGTGGGGGTCATGCAGGAGGCAGCCGATCAATGATTCTCTCTAATCATTGATGTTTCTATCTCTCTCTCCTTCTCCCTTCCCCTCTAAAATCAATAAAGAAATATATTTTAAAAATATATATTTATCCTCAGAAGAGGATTAACAAACAAACAAAAATAGTAGCACTGAACAGAAAAGAAATATAGTTATAAGCATAAAAATAGCTAATTCTTATTAAGACACTTACTACATGTCAGGCACTATGATTCACCCCCTTTGTCTCACTGATCTCATAGTGATCCTGTCATTTTCGCTCTCTTTTTAAAAAAATATTTTTTTTTTACAGAGTGGAAGGGAGAGGGATAGAGAGTTAGAAACATTGATGGATAAAAAAAAAAAACATTGGCCGAAGCCGGTTTGGCTCAGTGGTAGAGCATCGGTCTGTGGACTGAAGGGTCCCGGGTTCGATTCCAATCAAGGGCATGTACATTGGTTGCGGGCACATCCCCGGTGGGGGGGGTGCAGGAGGCAGCTGGTAGATGTTTCTCTCTCATTGACGTTTCTAGCTCTCATCTCTCTCCCTTCCTCTCTGTAAAAAATCAATAAAATATGTTTTAAAAAAATTGATCAACTGCCTCCTGCACAATGCCTACTAGGGATGTGCCTGCAAGCAAAGTACATGCCCTTGACCAGAATCAAACTTGGGACTTCAGTCTGCAGGCCGACGCTCTATCTACTGAGCCAAACCAGTTAGGGCCTATCATTATCTTTCTTAAATAATGAGACAACTAGGTGGACAGGCACTGGTAATTTGGCCAAAATTGTGAACAGCTAGTGAAGGGCAGAAGCAGGGCCCAATTCTGATCTAATGCCAGGCTACACTCCTATCCGTTGTGTTACACTGACTCCAAAAGCAAAATTCGCCCAAAGTGTGTGCCTGTTGTTTCTACAAGACAGTATACGGCTGGCACTGACACCCAAATGACCACTAGTGCAGCACACAGTATCCCTTCCCGTGGGTACCACAGAGCACGCACATATGACTGGGTAGTTAGGTCATTCCGCTAATAAAATGAAAACCTACCAGCCTTATGATAGTCTTTTCCATGAGGCAATGGGAGTTATGCAAGAGCAGCAATGGGAAACCACCTCAACCACCAGCCCTCCCTGCAGGGATTTAACTGCAGAAAAGCTATTACCATTGTTCGCTAATGTACTTGATCTTCAAGAATATTCTAAAAGGCTCAGAACTGGAATCAACATAACAAAATTGAAGAAAGATATAATGAAACTCCTAAGAGGCTTTCAAAAAATACTAAGGCTAAGTGGTTGTTAAAAACTCAGAAAATACCACAGGGGAAAAAGATCAGGAATAAAAAAGATGGCCCAGGCTTGAGGGGAGGTGGGGGGGGGAGGGCAAATTGGGGATCAGGAACAGCAGAAACAGCCTCCAGAAAGGGTAGAGCCAGGGCTGGAAATCTGGCCCAGAAGCCCCTGCCTGGAGCCTCCTCCTGGCTCCGGGCCACCGGAAGGAAAACAGCAGGTGCCAGGTCCCCAGAAACCCACTGCAAAACCAAGGCTGGAGGTTGCTGTTTAACTATTGCTGTTTAACTTGTGATATCTGTTACCTTTGCCTTTGAAACTGTCTCCTGACAAGCAAAGCACAACTCACGTTAGCCACAGGAGGTTGATGGTCTGGCGCCAGTCTCGCTGGGTGCTCCCGCTCAGACACGCTCTCCGGGAGGCCTCTCTGGCCAGGAAGATGGTGGTCGAATAAAGCAGCGTCAGCCTGTAAAGGGAACGCAGATAGTCATAAGGTCTCTAGTTTTTTTATAGAGAGAATTTCTGAGACTTTACCAGCAACTGGGATGAAAAAAGTGTTGGTCATAAATCATTGGTGGTGATGTGGAAGACAGTTTTCGCAGGACTTCTCACTGTCTCACCCACTCAGACAACGAAGTGAGGATCCAACTCCGGAACACCCGCATGTGTGCCTGCAAGGTTATGCCTGGGGTAGGAACTGCCCCAGTGGCTATAAGCGTGCGGGCTTTGTGGCTATAAGCAGAGGTGTGGCTCTGACCATAAGGAAAAGGACAAGATATAACCCCACCCAGCAAGGGGACCTCTTGGTCACTCTGAGACTGGGGACCCAACGGCCCTTGTGGGAGAAGCTGAGGCTCTACTGAGTGGAGGCTCTGGCCAAGAATCTCAGGACGGCAAAGAGGCTGGCAGCCATGACTGACACCACTGCAACCAGGTTAGCAAGCTTGCCTGTGTACCCCCTAGGCCAGCTGCACCAAGGTGGACCCTCCTGCACCGTAGTGAGGAGTAGCTCAGGTTTCCCTTCCTCAGCAGGCCATGGCCCAGACCAAGCCTGAGTGGGGATGGCCCAGGCTACGGTTTCTGAGGCTGTCCAAGGGTCATCCTGCTCCCCAGGGCTTCTGTCCAACACTGCGAATGAGGAGACAACCATACATTAAGCAGGGGGCAGGCCAGACAAGGGCTATCCACGCAGGGACCTGCCAATCCGGAGGAGAATAGACAGGGAGAGGCCCAAACTGCTTTCAAGTCTGAGCACCTAAGAGGATTTGGTCTTTTTCTTCCTGCTTTTAAAACCATATTCCTTACAAGGTAAAGATAAAAATTATGAACAATAAATACATATCTAGCCGAAACCGGTTTGGCTCAGTGGATAGAGTGTCAGCCTGCAGACTGAAGGGTCCCGGGTTCGATTCCGGTCAAGGGCATGTACCTTGGTTGCAGGCACATCTCCGGTGGGGAGTGTGCAGGAGGCAGCTGGTCGATGTTTCTCTCTCATCGATGTTTCTAACTCTCTATCCCTCTCCCTTCCTCTCACAGAATCATTAAAGGAAAACAAACAAACAAATACATATCTATCAACAAGTGAATCTAAAAACCAAGGGAATAAAAAATCTGATGAACAGTATCAACTGGTGAGTATAATAGAATCAGGGGCATAGAAAGGGAGTGGACTGACAATTCTCAAGGGGAAAGGGGCGTGGGGGGTATGGGAAGAGACTGGACAAAAATTGTACATCTATGGATGAGGACAGTGGTGGGAAGGTAAGGGCAGAGGGTAGGGTAGGAACCTGGTGGAGGGGAGCTATGGGGGGGAAAAAAGAAGAACATCTGTAATAATCTGAACAATAAAGATTTTTAAAAAACACGTATTTCTCAAAGCATGGTCCCTCCCCACTTCCACAATCACCTGAGGAGCTTGTTGAAATGCAGATTCCTGGGCCCTCCTCAGCCCTACCTGGTACAAAGCTCCCCAGGCGATTAGTTTGCCTGTCATTGCTTGAGAACCTTCACTAAGCCTTGAGGACAGAGCCAAGAACATATGTTTGGTAAATATGAGATGTGAAATGCTGTCTGGAACATACTGTCTTGTTTATCAGGACATGAAGACACACCTGAGAAGCTGAGCTATTCTGCACACTCACATCACTTCAGATACTTTTGTGTCATTTGTGAATACAGACTATGTGTGGGATGTCCTCGAACAGAAAGGAGGAGACAGGAAGAAACACAGAATCTAAAAAGATGAAGCAAGTCAGCTACGAGCCGCCATGAAACGAATGACAAGACTCAAGCCCTTATCCCAGCTACTGTTTTCCATTATACAATTCCCCGTGAGAGAAAATAACCACTGAGGGAAGGAAGGTGGCCGTGTGATTACAAAGCACATCCTCACGATCTGGAGGATGCCTGTTTCCTTTGCTGTCAGCAGGACAAGAACACGGAATTATACCTGAGAAGGGGTTTGCAGTGAATGACTCCCACTCCTATGCTGGGTTCTCAGAGCAGGCAAACAGGAAGAAGCTGGCTGGGAAATATGCATTTGGAGGCTGCTAATGGAAAACATTCCATGGGTCCATTAAGAGCAACATCCCCCGCTCATTCCCCCAGCAGCACGCTCCTCCTCAGCCACTGCTAAAAACTCTGCGACTCCAGTAAACTTCCTTGTGTCTAAGATCCGAGGGTGACACGCAGGAAGGCACAGAGGAAAACCTGGCGAGGGATGGTGCCAGGGCGCATCCCTTTCTTACCTTACATTCACTATGCCAACGATTTCCTTGGACAGAAAGCGAAGAATAAATGCATTCAAGGCAAAGGTGATCAATCGAAACAACACCTACAGAAAAAGAAGAAAAAAAGACCTAAGAATGAATTAGGTTGGGAGGGTTCACTTTGCTGAGATGAAAACAATGCGGCTGCTCTTCCTAACAGCCCCCTTGCCATCGAGACCCTTTCCACAACACTCGTCCTGTCTGCGTTTCTTCCCAAAATGTCACTCCTTGGCATCTCCTGGCACGCCTGGGCAGTGGTCAAAGGACCCTGAGTAAACCCTAGTTTACTGATGAGAAGAGGGAGGCCTCTACCGACTCAGGGAATTCCCTTGGGTACAAAGTCGGGCGCTCCAGGACGGAAAGAGAATTTCAGTTAGTGCTTCCCATTGCCCTCCTTCCAGCCTGGAGAGAAACAGCAAGCGCTCTGCAAGTGGGAGCCTGCAGGGTAGAGCAGACTCACTAGCAATGATGGTGTCTAATTTCTCTTTCTTCTCTGTGCCTACTAGTATCTGGGGATTCTGATAATGACACTCAATCCCTTGGAACTTCAGTTTTCAATTAGAAAACAGAAAAGGCTGTATTTATTTGCTGACTATTTGCCACCTTCCAGAGAGGAGTTAAAATACCTTTTAAATGACAACTCAGTAAGATCATTTATAAGGGGGAGGGGATGGGTGGGAGAGACAAGAGTCTAGCTAATGCCATTTGGAAGGACTATATCAACCCAAGAAAACCACCGTAGTAAAGAATTATTCCCGTGAGACGGAGAAGAACAGGCTGCAATTAAACGAGGTCACTAAATGGGGATGCGGCTGGGGGGGCAGGCCTCGCTCACTGACTTCCGCTGCGTCCCAGCAGCACCACAGGTGTAACTCAAGTGCACTGGAGACCAAAAGACAAATCGCTTCTCTGTCAAGCGCTCTCCGAGTTACCCAGGAACAGCTGCAATCTTAGTAAATCCAGGTAAGCCAACGAGCCACAGAAGTCCGAAGATCCCTGGGGAAAGGTAAGGCCTAAAGGGAGAGCGCAATCTAGCTCCGCCCCCGAAGTGTCACAGAGCGGCAAGGTCTCCAAAGTCGGTATCACAACCTTAACATTTGTGAAGTCAACTGTGGCCTTTTGTAGGTCTGCTGAAAGCTCTGCAGCTCTTCCTTTTTAAAAAAAAAAAAATATATATATATATATATTTTATTGATTTTTTACAGAGAGGAAGGTAGAGAGATAAAGAGCTAGAAACGTCGATGAGAGAGAAACGTCGACCAGCTGCCTCTTGCACACCCCCTACTGGGGATGTGCCCGCAACCAACGTACATGCCCCTGACCGGAATCGAACCCGGGACCCTTCAGTCCACAGACTGATGCTCTACCGCTGAGCCAAACCAGTTTCGGCTGCAGCTCTTCTTAGAAACATGCAGGTTCGTACAAGGGTGGACAAAAGTAGGTTTACAGTTGTGAGTACACAGAAGCTTATTCCTGTATTATTATTATTTATTAACTAAAGGCCTGGTGCACAAAGTTTGTGCACAGCAGGGGGGTCCCCTCAGTGCAGCCTTCACCCTCTCCAAACAGGACCCCTTGGGGGATGTCCAACTGCCAGTTTAGTCCTGATTCTGAGGACATCCCTCTCAAAATCTGGGACCACTGGCTCCTAACTGCTCAACTGCCTGCCTACCTGATTGCCCCTAACTTACCCCCGTCGGCATGGTCACCCCTACAGTTCCCCCTGCCGACCTGATCACCCCACACAGTCTGCTGTTCAGTCGTTTGGTTGCCCCTCACAGCCTCTCCCACCGGCCTGGTCGCCCCACACATCCTGCTGCTCAGATGTTTGGTCGCCCCTCACTGCCCTCTGCCACCAGCCTCCATACACACCAAACTCCATACTCAGTTTTAGAAGTTTGAAGCCAATTTAGAGAGCTGTTAATGGAAAAAAGCATTCAGCCTCAATTTCCTTCTCTGTCAGGCGATGCCTATCCCATAGGGTTGATAACAAGGATCAAACAAGACTGTGTAGGTAAAAGCATTTTTGAAAAATGCATACAAATAAAAGGCATTAATAATTTCACTATGGCCAGCTCAGAGTTATGACAGAATAAACTCAAATTCTTGCAGATTACAATATAATGGCAAGGCTACCTCAAGTGTATGCCTTGTAAATTGAAAATAAACATACAAGACTGAATTAAAACACTCAGGTATCTAAAGATTATGGCTATTTTTTTAAAAAAAAAAAAAACCTACATACACATGTTTATATTAACTTCAAAGTCAAAGTTATCCTTATCTAACAAACCTAAAAATGCCTCAGGCTTTTCCTTCTCTCTTAACTAGACAAAAGTTTGAGCTAATGAAGCTCTAAAGTTGCTCATGCTACCCAGTATTTGCTCCACATAGAGGCCCTTCTGAGTAAGTCTCCACTTTGTAAAGGAATTTACAGTTTTAAAAAAGCTTTTTCTTTCTTTTCTGTTAATTATTTGATCCTTAAGAGCAACTGGGTGAATAAATGCACCGAAAGCAAGTTAAGACTCAGAGCAAAGTTGACTTGCCCAAAGTCACAGTGTCCATTTAAAAAGTTCTAAACCATAACAAAAATAATTACGTTATTAAGTACTTACAACGTGTCAGGCATACAACAGACATTTCATCTAATCTCCCTAATGACTGTATGAGGTTGCATTATTGTCCTCATTTAAGATGAGGAAACTGATGCTTGAAGAAGTCAAGCAAACTTCCCAAGGGTGGGCATCTAGCAAGTGACAAGACCCAAACTTCGGCCCAAGACTACCTGTTCTTTCTCCTAGCCTCCACGTAAAACACTCTCTAAAATAAGGGGGAAGGTGGATTCAGGGCTTTTATGAGAAAGGATTGAATGGCTCGAGTGAGACAGACAGAAATTGAGCTGCTTGACTTAGAAAGACCAGCTCCTAGGTTTTAACGAATCTTTAGATATCCTTTGGACCATCTGGCACGTATATTATCTGACAGGTGATAAATATTAGGCCCAAGAAAAGGAAATGATTGGTTCCAGGTCACATAGGCAGAAGGTAGATACACCAACATTTACTAAAGGCATACGAAGAATAATGTGTTAAGTGCAATTATCTTAATAACTTCAATTTAGCCTAACAGCAACCTTATGGGCTTATTATTATTATTGTTGTTGTTATTACTATTATAACCCCCATTTTCCAAATGAGGAGCTGAGGCTTAATAGGTGAAGTCACTTGTCCTGGCTCATTCAGCAAGAACTTGGCAGAACCAGGATTTCAATCCAGGCCTGCCTGGGCCCAGGTGCCATACTGTCTCTGGCGACTCAGAGGATTTGAGGAATGTGTTTGAAGGTAAGGGGTGAAGCATGGAGGAAAATGAACCCCTTGCCTTAAAACACATCAGATTATACAGCACCACAAACACGCCGGCGACCTGATCTTTCTCCTGCTGCTGCTATACGGGAACTGCATTTCTCAAAACGAAAGTGGCTTGTTTACACTCTCCCAGCCTGGAGAAAGCTGGCTCCCAACTCCGAGCCCAGGAGCCCCATCTCCGCTGCCACCACCTCCGGTCCAGCCCCTCGGCAGCGGGACTGAGTCAGCCCGGGGCGGCGTGGGGGCGGCCGGGCAGAGAGTACCTGCAGGAGGAGACCCGAGGAGGCCAGCCGGGCCGCCTGGCCCAGCACCTCCTGGCTGCCCATAGCCTGGCGCCCGGGCTGTCAACCAGGAAACGCCGCCGCCTGCCGTTTCGTCGCGAGAAGATCGCGTCACGGAGCGGCTCGTCCGCTGATTGGTTGCTTAGGGTCGGAAGGCGGGGCGCGGGAAGTGCCGGCCCTGTAAGTGGGCGGGCTGGGGCGCGTCAGTGTTCCTGCGCCGGACTCCTCTCCCTTTTGTGCTTGCCTCGCTTTGTGCTTTCTCTGCCCACCTCTGTCTGTACCAAATAAGCTAAGTAGCGGCAATGAAGAAACGTTGTCGAGCAGCTAAAGCCCCTTCGCTGAGGCTCTCCGCTCACCACCCACAGAACACTGAGTTCCCTAACGTCATTAAGAAGATTCTGGCCTTTGGGCCTTTGCCTACAAAATTGCAGCCACAGCCCCTGAGTAAGGCTGGACGGGAATCTACCCAACTTAACCAATAACGAACTGAAGACCAGAAGTTAAATACAGCGTTATCACAGGAGTGGTTTTGTGGAATCCCTCCTGAAGTGGAGAGAATTGGGCCTTGTTTTTTGATGAGTCTAGTGAGAGACCCTGAGGTGTGAAGTGACTTGTTCCTATCTATGCGCCTTGTCCCTGGATGGAGCAGATCCAGGCTCCAGATCCTTAAACTTGCCTTTCTTGCCCGAATGCTACCAGAGCAGAATGGACGGAGAAAGCTTCCTGAAATGTAAAGCACCCAACACACACAATCAGCTGTTCTGTTGGTTTCTTATCTGCTAAGCAAACTCTGGAAACCCAGTCTTCCCCACTATCTTTTAGGCCTCCTGTGATTTGCCCCCAGCCTACCTGCTTGACCATCTTACATAATATAATCACTGCCCTTTCCCAACACACACTAGGCTGTAGCCATTAGGAGCCCTTACTGTTTCTCAAGCAGGCCCTGTCTTGTTGGTCTTGACTCCTGCTTCCCTCTCTGCCCAAAGTGCCTTCCTTGATGGTGCTCCCCACCCACCCACTCAGGCCCCATTGCCCTGACTTTTCTGAGAACCACTGTCAGTTCCTGCTGTGGACGGGATGTGTGTGCTCCCCAAATTCATATGTTGAAGCCCTAATTCCCAGTGTGATGGTTTTGGGAGGTAGGGCCTTTGGGAGATAATTATGTCATGAGGGTGGAGTCCTCAATGAATGGGGTTAGTGCCCTTATAAGAAGAGACAAAAGAGAGGTGAACTCTCTCTCCATCAGCCGAGGATGACAGCAAGAAAGCAACCAGCTTCAAAACAGGAAGAGTGCTCTCACCAGAAACTGAATTAGCCAGTACTTTATCTTGAACTTCTAGCCCCCAGAACTGCAAGAAATAAGTTCCGGTTGCTTAAGCCACTCAGTCTATAGTATTCTGTTGCAGTGCCTGAGCAGACTAGGCCAGCACTTATAAAGCATTTTGTAACCCTTTGTAGCTTTTAGCACTACCTGCGTTGCAATGAAGAGACTAGCCTATGTTCCTCTGTCTAAACAAGAAAGCACGAGTGAAAATTCACCTGGCTTTTCTCCCTGCAAGATAGCAGAGAAGCTTCCTAGGACTCCCATAAATAGCTCCTAACTCCTACTGCTGCTGGAAACAGATGATGGAGCTCAAGGCCCATGTATCCTCCTATCCCCCTCTTGCCAGATTAGCTCTGTCTTATTGTGGAGGCATAGAATGTGAGCTTTTGACTGTCAGAAAGGCCCTAAATCCTCATTCTGCTACTTACTAACTGGGTGACCTCAATGTGCTTAACTATTAACTAGGGGATATTATCTGTGAGGGTAATTATAAGAATTAAAGTAGACAAAAAGTCTGGCCCTTAAGGAGCTTAAATTGTAGAGGAAGTGGGGTGAGGGAGGGACCCTAACAACAAACAATAAAATTTCACATAATGATAAGTGCTATGAAAGAATAAAACCACAGAAGGTAACAGAGGCTTTTTTAGGGTAGGAAGGGGTGGTGTTCTGGAAGACAGAGCAAACCTGGCACTCTCCGGGGAGAGAAGTGTACTTGAAAAGGAGAGCAAAGTGTTGCAGGGTTGAGGTACTCAGCCTAAGGGCTGAGATGCCCTAGGCCTTGACATGGCAGCCTGCCCACCCATGGACCTTGGACTGGTAGGTGAGGTAGGCTCTTGTTGCCTTTATCCCCAGCCAAGCAGCTGCCTCCTCCACAGCTCATTCCTGGAGCAGAACCAGCCATCAGATTTTCATGTCCACAGGCTCCTAACCCTGGGTATCCCAGTGGGCTGGGCTGGGAGGGACAAAAGAATCGTTTCTTTGGGAACAAAGAAGCCAAAGGGAAATGCTCCAAGCTATGTCTGAAGGGTAAAGCCGCCTGGCCCAGCACCAAGGTACAGACCCTGAGGGGCTCCTGAGCAAGGAGTCAGGGATCTTTTTCTCTCCTTCTGAACGTTAAGACTTAGCAAGGAGAGACTGAGCAGGAACTTTGTGTCCAGAGCCAGGCTGGATACTGGGGTTGATGGGGGAGAAGGAATTGTGATTAGAGCCCATGAGCATGGACCACTGGCCCCATATCAGCACCTGTCTGGGCGCCATCATTCTTTCAACAACCCATGAGGTAGATACTACAAATGAGGAAACTGAGGCATGGAGATGCTACGTTACTCCCCCAAAGCCGTTCAGGCTGGGAGTGGTCAAGCTGGCATGTGTACCGCCGTGCTTTCTGACTGCAAATGCTAAAAGAGTGATGTTCCTGTCTTCAAAATGATCCTGTGCCTGAAGGACACTTGGCTAAGAGTCTCCATATCTAAACCCCAGAGGACATATGTGGCACTGAGTGGGCGGGCCTGGCAGGCTGCAGTGGCTCAGCTACACTGAGCCTCTCCAATGGCCTCGCCTCTGTTAACAGTGTTGGCGGCAATGGGGCATAGTCTTTGTGTGGAGGGCTAGGCTCAGGGCTGAGCTAAGGCCCACTAGCTGTGGCCTGCTGTGTTTGACCTATGAGCTAAGAATAGTTTTACATTTTACATTTCTGTGTCCACAAATAAAGTTTTATTAGCACGTGGCCACATCCACCCATTTGTGTGTACACTGTCTACAGTGACTGTCTTGCTACAACAGCAGGTAGTTTGCTCCACAACACTGAAAATATTTACTATCTGGCCTTTTACAGAGAAGGTTTGCCAATCCTGGCGAGCCCCAGTGCCTGACATCCAGTTGACATTTCAATATTGAATGACTGGATACACAGATAAAATGAATAATGAAGGACTTGGAAAGGAAGAAAGACAAATAAGAAGGTTCTTTGCCCCCGGGGTCACCTGGTTTGGGGAGCAAGTGATCCTTGGAGGATGCCAGACCATAATTGGTGTTCACTGAAGGAGCCGTTTCCCCAGGCTCGCCCCTCCCTCCTGCCCTCTCTGCCAGGAGCCTCCTTGCCAAGGAAAGCTGACCCGAGCTGGCTATTTTATTACCCAGCTGAAGGGAGTGCCAGGGCTGGCGCCAAGCCAGTTAGGCTCCCAGGGCAGTGGGGCAATCAGGGAGGCTGCCAGCAGGCGAATAGGCAGGGTAAAAGCTAGGGCAAGTGGTGCCTTGAACCTCATCTGGGTGGAGGCAGGAGAGCAGGGCAGCCATCAGGAGGTGGGGATTTTGGGGTGAGGGTCCTGCCCCACCAAGGCTTTCTGCTGCCCACCGGGTGGAGGACCTCTGGAGGATGGAGGTCCATCCATGCAAGAGAACCTCAAGGCTCTGTCCCTCACTCAGAAGTCCCTGGGCACGAGAACACGGCTGTGCTACTATTAGCCCACATTTGATGAGTGTGTACAGGTACTGTGCTGGGCACTTCACCTTCATGATCTCATTTTACTCCAAGAGCAGGCCCATGAGCCCTGGCCAGGTGGTTCAGTTGGTTGGATGATCGTCCCATACACCAAAAGGTTGTAGGTTCTATTCCCAGTTGGGCAACTGATCAGTGTTTTCTTCTCATGTTAATCTCTTTCTCTCTCTCTTTCTCTCTCTCTCCTCTCATCAATAAACATTTTCTTAGGTAAGGATTAAAAAGAAAAAAGAGCAGGCACAAGAGGCATAAGCCATTATTATCCCCATTTTAAAGACCAGGAAACTGAGGCTCAGTGAGGTTAAAGGATATGCCTAAAGGCTAACAAATGGTGGTGCCAGCATTTGCACTGGGCAGTGTGGCTCTCAGACCCTTAACCAGGAATGAACCAGAGTGTTTATTGATAATCAATTCTTAATATTGATTTTTTTACAGAGAGGAAGGGAGAGGGAGAAACAGTTAGAAACATCGATGAGAGAGAAACATCAATCAGCTGCCTCCTGCAACCAATGTACATGCCCTTGACCAGAATCGAACCTGGGACTTTTCAGTCCGCAGGCCGACACTCTATCCACTGAGCCAAACCAGGTTAGGCTTGATAATCTGATTCCTTGGCTCCACCTCAGCAGCTCTGACGCAGGAAGACTGGGTGTTCCTGGGAATCTGCTTTCACCCACACCCTGTGTGGTTCTGATACAGTGGACCAGACTGTGAGGAGCACTGCCTACAGGCAGACAGATCTTCAGGCACCTTGGGAAATTTGCCCCCTTCTCTGAGCTGGAAGAGTCTGCTTAAAGCAGACAAAGCAGGTCCTGAGATCTGCCCCAGGCCTGTCCAGCTGCCAGGGGTCTTGTTTTTGGGATTAAGCTGTGGGTCAGCGCTCAGGGCAGCAGGGGTTGGAGGCAGTGCCTGTGTGAAGGGCTTGGGGAAATTCTGGGCCAGGAAGAATGGACAGTGTCAGCTCCTGACAACCACTTATTTACTCTGTGTCTCTTTGGATTGGCCTGTTCTGGACATTTTATATAAACGGAATCATACAGAATGAGTTTTTTTTGCATCTGGATTATTCCATTTAGAATAAAGTGTTTGAGAGTCATCCATGTCGTGGCATGTATCAAGTGTTCCTTTTTAGGGTTGAACAATGTTCCATTGTGTGGATATACCACATTTTGTTCATCATCTGATGTACCTTTGATTGTTTTCATGGTTTGGTGATTATGAACT